TGTTTTCTCAATTCTCATAATGCACATCAGTATTTTTCTTGACTATAAGAAGCATAAGATTATAGGAAACAAAAATGAAACTATTGGAACTAACAAAAATGAAAAACAAGAAAAAAGAAGTAAAATACAGTTTTTTCTTACTCATTCGTCATTTGGTGGCTATTGTTCCAATGAAAACAAACGTCTGGAGATTTACTCTGATCATTAAAAGTCGAAGGACTAGATGTTCCACTTCTCATATGAAGGTGAAAGCACTTTGAGCCTTTCGAACATCATCAACATTAACCGCTTTTGTGTAATGCAACTATTGAATTTTTGTTTTGATCTCTGTTCTTTGAGTCTTGATTTTTGTTTTGATAGCTCTTACGTATGTGTGTATATATATACGGATACATTAGCCCTTAAAAATTCATTCACGTATCATGATGTCTTTTTGCTATTGTTTCTGGGAAACATCATGGAAAATGTACCCCATTATAAATATAGTTGGGAATGTTGGCTGGATCCTTCAAATTTATTTTAGTTGGGCCAGAATTATTTAAATAATTGAAAAATCTTCGTTGAGGTTTTTAAAATCGTCATAAATATTATTATACTGTTTTTAATTTCAAAAAATAACTCCTCCAAGATCCTATCAGATTTCGAAAAGACTAGTCTACTTTTTCTCCGAAAATCTATAGTTGTTTACGCTTCTAAATAATATCAGTTCATAGTTTATAGCTTCCAAGGTCATGATTTTCTGATGCATCAATGAAAAGTTAGAAACTACAGTAAAACTTCTATATAGTTATAATGGTGGGACTAATTAATTTTATCACTATAAGAAAGTTATAACTCAATAGAGGTATAGTTAAAAAAATTTCTTATTTCATAATTCATGTTTTAGTAGTACAGTAATAGGATTTTAATTCATGTTTTAATAATATTAGGGTTTTAATTCAGCGTTTCAATTGCCTACTTTTGAAACAGATATAATATCGTGTTTTGAAACCAATAAAGATAACTGTCTTTGATAGAATTGTAACGACAGTTACTGTATGACAATTGATGTGAAACCACAGAGAATTATCAATTGTTTTAAGCATTACAAAATTAGGACCTCTGATGTCGATGAATTGCAAATTACAAATGAAGTGAATGATAAGAATCAAAGAGTCATTGTAGAATTGAGTGATCAGATTCGACAACTTCACTACACTAATCGAATGAATATTAATGTCTTCATTAATCATCCAAATGAGTAATAAGTCATGTATGCTTTAACAAAAGAATAAATCATTTCTAAAATTAAATAAGAAGAGAAAGAAAATAATTATGAGGATGATAGTATGAAAATACAAAAAGTTTCATGTCAAGAAACTCTAAACATGCTTGAAAAGCTATAAAGATTTGGGTTTTAACAAGAAAATGTCCATGCTAACGAGTAATGTACCCGCAAATTAAAAGATCTTATATTTACAACTTTAAATTATGGTATCAAATTTGTTTTTTTGTTTCTTCCATTGTTTTTTTTTCCTGTTTTAGAACAGAAAAATAAATTAATTAAGATTTATAATCATTCAAATAATTAATGATGGTACAGACTGTAATTTTTTTTAAAATATCTTGAATAGTGACTTCCATTAGTATAATAAGAGATAGTAAAATGATGAAATTCAGAATAATCATCCCTTTTACCATACAGTGGTAGAGCTAGGAATTAAAACGAAGGGCAACACAATAATATGATTCCAAATTTCCAACTCCAAAAATACATCACATTTCATTAGAAATTAATGTCCAGTGACTTAAAATGCACAAATGAAAAACATTATTATTGATAAAAAAAATGCAATTAAACCTCAATAAATTAATATCTTTAGGACCATGAAAATTTATTAATTAATCGATATATTATTTAATTAAATTATTAATTTATCGAGGCATTATTTATTTTCTTTTTCAAAAACATTGAACTTAAGACATATACATATTGTGTATTGTTAATGTGGTATAAGGAATAATTATTCAAAATAACATCATCAACGGGGCGGATTTTCCCCGAATCGTTCAGGCTTTGGGATGGGATCGGGCCCAAGATTGGCTCCGGAATTCTGGGATAGGCCGGGGCTGGGATAGGTTTTGCCCCGGCCCCGAATTCCCCGGCCAAATATATATATATATATAATAATAATAATTGAAAATCAATCATATATACCTATAATAATTTTAATATTTGAAAATCAATTATACATTATACAATGACAAATTATAATTGCGTAAGTATTTTATGAAACTATATACAAATAAGTAATAAATAAAACTAGATTAAATATAATAAATCATTATAAATATTTGTAAGTATATATATATCTACAATGACAAATTATAATTGTGTAAGTATTTTATGAAACTATATACAAATAAGTAATAAATAAAACTAGATTAAATATAATAAATCATTATAAATATTTGTAAGTATATATATATGCTACAGTTACCGACGGGTGTGCATCGAATTTGTGCACCGAATGACGTGGCAAAATCCTGACCGTTGATTCATTATAAGTTAATATTAATCAACGGTCAGGATTTTACCACGTCATTCGGTGTACACTTTTCGGTAACTCTATCATTTTTCATATGTTAATGTTATGAAACAAAAGTTATACATTCGACATTATATATGGTATACATTTGACATTATACATTATACATTATACATTATATATTAGTATGATGGTTTTTATATTTAATATGTACATTATAGATTTAATTTCTTTTTTGATGATATAGTCTTTACGTTTAATATGTATATTATATATTTAATTTTTTTTTTTTAGTTGGTATATATAATTTGGAGAAAAGGATAATAAAACTAAGGATACAAAAATACAAAAAAACCCCCAAACAAGGAATTCGGGGAATAGGCTTTTTTAGGGGATTCCCCGAACGGGCTTCGGGCCGGGATCAGGGAATCCCCTTGGGCATTTGGGCCGAGGTCGGAGACAGGGGTCCCCAACCCTGCCCCAGCCCATGCCCATCCCTATATGTGATATAGGGAATAGCTCAAACGCCTCGTAATTCAGTCATGTATATATATATATATAATTTTGATATATAAGAAGATTATTAATTTATATATATCAAGTGGTATCTATGTGTGTGTGTGTGTGTGTGTGTTTTTTTTAAATGTATTATCTTATAAATTTAGTGAATTATTAATTTATCACACTAGTCCCAAGTTGGGATCAACAAAAAATATTATTTAATCGAAGTTATTAATTTGTCGAACTTTAACTGTATTTATAAAATGGGTGTGTGTGGTATATTCATGGCTAGGATTGGTAAACGAATCGAGCGGCTTGTGAAGTAGCTCGAATCAGCTTAAGTAAGGCTCATCAAGGGCTTGGCTTGACTTGAATAGAGTTGGCTTAGCTCGATTCGTGAATGAGTTGCAGGCCGAGTTCGATCAGTGGTCAGCTCAGCTCAAACCACTCACGAGCTAAATCTAGCTCCAAAAAAAGGGTTACACCAAGGGTTTTTCAAACTATTAGGGGTTAAATTATAATTTGTAGTACTTAATATTTGAAAAAATGACAAATTCCTCCCATTGTAAAATTTTGTAAAAACACAATTCTTACCCCAGTTGAAGTAAATCCCTAAAATTTGAAAAGGCAAAATCACCCAAGTTCCCAAATCCCAATCCACCACCACGTCGTCGTCGTTGCCCACAGTTGAAGCTGTCCACAATTACTATCATAGACGTCGTTTCACCATCATTGTCCCCCTCATATTCTCTTCGTTGCCATCTTATTGTCTTTGTGCTGTTGAGTTGTCCATTGTTCTCATTGTCCTTCTCGCCGTCACACAAAGGTATTATTTTGGCCCACTCTTGTTTTTTCCTAATATTTTGCTAGTATTGTTCTCTTTTCATATGAGTACATACGTTGAGTTAATTGAACTGTGTTATTATATATGCTAGTATGAATCTGTTTGTGTTGTTGCTTTTGGCCTTTGGATGTGTTGAGGATTATTGAAATGTGTTATTATATATGATTAGTTGCAAAAAAATTGAGTTAATTAATAAGTGTCAAAATTCTGGTTCATTAGCATTTTGCATCAATATTAGGTAGTATTTTGACAAGAAACTAAATTTATGCTCATAGTAGTTTAGGAAGCTCGGACTTATGGTCATGGACTCATGGTATTGAATAATTTGCAAAAAATTCTAACCAAAATTAGTATTCTGCAAATATTAACTGAAGTTTGAAACTTTGCAGTGAAAATATGAAACTTGAGAAGTTTAAAACTGTAGTTTGCAGAGTAAAGAAACATGAAAAGCTTTCTTAAAGTTGTAAAAACTTGCACCTTGCTCTTTATATGATAACTGCATTAACTAGATAGATAGCTTTATTTTCTGCAAGTTGAGATATGGATTAATAGAAATGGGTGTTTATCATCAAATAACTATAATGTTCCTTGATTTCTAAAATTTCAAATATATATCAATAAGAAAAGCTAACACCTTTGTTTTTATTTTCTATTATAGGTTTGAAAATGGATGGCAGTACCTCAAGCACCCCTACAGAGCAAGATGGAATTACAATTACATTGAGCAATAAGTGTAACTTGAATGAGACCACTACAAATATGGAACACAATGTTAGTAACCCAGATAATTGTGGGGAGAATGACAAAGAAAGAGAGCTAAGACATCAGTGGTCTGGACAAAGTTTAAAAAGATTCTTCTCACGAATGGTACAAAAAAGGCATAATGTATCCATTGCAAAGCCGAACTGTGTATTAATGCCACCAGAAGCACCACCTAGTTTAATAGACATTTAAAACGGTGTTCAAAGAGAATAGCTTCCATAGGCAACAACATATTACTTTTTCCGCTATCGATTATGATGTTGGAACTTCTATTTTGCCTGCTTTAAGTGGAAAGTTCGGCATGATAAAGATGAGGGAACTTATCGCCCATTGGGTGCTTGTGCATGAGCATCCATTTTTCAGTTATGGAGGAAGAGGGCTTGAACAACATGATGAAGTATGAGATTCCTGAATGGAGTCTGATTTCCCACCATACTTGTCAAAATGATTGTATAAAGGTATATGAAAGTGAGAAAGTGAAGTTGAAGATGTTGAAGAATGTGACAAAGATTAGTTTGACTATGGATTTAAGGAATTCCGGTAATCAGAAGATGGAGTATATGGTGCTCACTGGGAATTGGATAAATGGTAATTTGAGGATGAATAGACGTGTCCTAAACTTTGTCCATTTACCTCCTCCCCGTACCAGTGTTGCGATTGTTGACTCAATTTCCAAGTGCCTAATTGAACAGGAGATTGAAAATAAGATGTAAACTATCTCAATGGATAACGCTTTAAGTAATGATGTTGCAATTAGAGCTCTGAGGGAAAATTTTGAAGTTACGGAGAATCTGATTTGTGGAGGTAAATTGTTTCATATAAGATGTTGTGCCCACATCTTGAACCTCATTGCTTAAGATAGACTTTATCAGATTAGGTATATCATTGACGACGTCCATGAGAGCGTCTTATATATCAATGCTTTAGAGAGTAGGATTAAGGTTTTTTCAGAGATTGTTCGATAACTTGAATTGTCGTTTCGGAAGCTTATTCCACATTGTAAAACAAGATGGAATTCGACGTATGAAATGTTGGCAACGACAATTAAGTTCAAAAAAGATTTTCCCAGATTGAAAGAAAGGATACAAGTTATCATTATTGTCCGCAGGACGAGGATTGGGAGAAAGTGTGTTGACATTTTAAAGGTTTTTAGTGGTACAACCAATCTCATTTCATGGAGTGATTATCCGACATCTAATTTATTTCTAAAGGAGGTGTGTCTAGTGAAAATGATGTTGCATAGTAAGAGTGAAGAAGGAGATGAGTTTATTATAAACATGGTAAGAAAGATGAAGCTGATGTCTGTGGCTGTTGTATTGGATCCTCGGTTGAAAATGAGGGTAATTTAGTAGGCATTCCCCAAGATGTATTCTGAGTTAGAAGCCTAAAAACTAAATAGCTGATCCAAAACAAACGGAGCACTTGCTCCAAATCAAACTAACAAGCAAATGACTAGTAGTGAAGCAGAGCAAAGCAACCACAAAAAAATAAAACTTCAGTTGAACTAAACAACTGCTCCAAATCAAACTAACAAGCAAATAACTAGTAGGAACTAGAGCAAGGCAACCACAAAATAAAACTTCAGTTGTATATTTGAACCGGAATCATGAGATATTGTTCAGTTAATATCAAGGCTGAGAACTCTTCAAGCAACCACAAAAACAAACTTCAGTCTTAGACCATCTGAACTAAAACCATTAAATGAATCTCATCCTGAGCAGTAGATGAGTAATATGAGTCAAAGTAGAGCAAACAATTTTCACTTCTGTCACAGTGTTAAGTTGCGATTTAGTAGCACTTACCATTGTTAATTTCTGCCATAATTTAGCAAATTGAGAAGCAGATAAGGCCTTTGTAAAGACATCAGCTATTTGAAGCTTGGATGGCACATACTGAATTGCCACTTTATTAGCTAATACTTGCTCTCGGATGTAATGTGCATCTATCTAGATGTGTTTGGTGCATGCATGAAAGATTGGATTAGAAGCTAATGCTGTTGGACTAATGTTATCGCACCATATCACAGGCTTAAGATTTATAAAAATTCCTAGTTCGGTGAATAAACTCTGCAACCATGCTACCTCTGTGGCTGTTTGAGCCAATGCTCTATACTTAGCTTCAGTGGAAGAAAGGGCTACAACTTGCTGCTTTCTTGAACTCCACTGAACTAAATTGGGTCCCATGTATACACAACAACCACTAGTAGAGCGTCGATCCTCCAAATTACTTCCCCAATCTGCAATGGCATAACATTCCACATAGAGAGAACGAGTGAGCTGAAAGTGTAAACCATAATCCAATGTTCCTTTGACATACCGAAGAATTCTCTTGCATGCTTGCCATTGAAGAGTTATAGGAGCTGATAAGAACTGTTTAAGCTTGTTAACAGGAAAGCTAAGATCAGGTCTTGTAAGTATAAGGTATTGAAGTGCCCCTATAGTGCTTCGGTACAAACTAGACTGCTCAAATAAGTCACTATCACCTGAGAATAACCGTGTACCAATTGCCATGGGAGTGGAGCAAGGGTAAGCTTCATTCATGCGGGTTTTGAGTAATAAATCAGCTGCATATTTGGTTTGTTTCAAGTGGATACCACTGCAGTTTCGTGTAGCTTCCAGACCAAGAAAATAGTGCAATGAACCAAGAGTTTTGAGTGAGAACTGATCATTTAGATCCTTCAAAAGCTGAGTAATGTAATTTGAGCTGGATCCTATCAAAATAATGTCGTCCACATAGACTAACACATCGATTAGTAAAGAATTATGCTTAAAAATAAATAAGCTTGAATCAGAGACAGAATTAACAAAACCCTTGCTGAGGAGGGCAGCCTTTAACTGATCAAACCAAGCCCTTAGAGCTTGTTTAAGCCCATAAAGAGCTTTATTCAGCTTGCAGACATATGTAGGATTGTGAGGATTCTAAAAACCAGGAGGTTGTTTCATGTATACCTCTTCATTTGAAGTACCATTTAAAAATGCGTTGTTGACATCAATTTGCTGAACATCCCAACCATGCATAATAGCCAAGGTGAGAATGATTCTGATGGTGGATGGTTTGACAACTGGACTAAATGTTTCAAAGTTGTCAAGTCCAGGGGTTTGTTGAAAACCCTTTGCAACCAACCTAGCCTTGTATTTTTGCAAAGAACCATCTACATTATACTTGGTTCTAAATGCCCACTTGTTCCCTACTACATTCACATTGGAGGAAAAAGGAACTAGTGTCTAGGTCTGATTTTTTAGCAGAGCAGTAAATTCAGATTGCATCACCTCTTTCCACTTAGGATTAGCCAAAGCTTCAACAACAGAACTAGGTTCTGGTTCAACAACATGATGTTCTGATAGAAAAATAGTAGAGGGACCTGTTGCAAAACTAGAAAGAGAAGACATGGCTGCTGCTTTTGCTCAGGTTAACATAGGGTGAAGGTTAAGAGAACTCAATTGTGAAGGATGGGTGGAAGTTGGTTGTGTAGAGTGTATGGGTTGAAGAGTATTAGAGAACTGTGATAGCGTAAGATCAACTTTAAGCGGAATGGATGGTAGGTTAGTATCAGGCGGTACAACAAGAAGGGATGATATTTTAGTTGAATAGTGATCAGGTGAGCATTGTGGAGAAGAAGCAGGTTGTGTAATATGAGTATGTGAAGAATAATGTTCACTATTTAATGAAGGACTACGGGAATCATGAGATGCAACATGTATTGATGGAGAAATATGCAAGTGTGAGCTTGAAGGAAAAGAGGAAGAAGTACCTAGTGCTAAAGTGCCATTTTCAGACAGTTTTGATGAGCTTGTCACTGCAGAAGGAAGAGGGGCCTGTTCTGTTGAAGAGGGAGGACTTTGTGTAGTGATGACAGGAAATGGAAGAGATTGAATTTGACCAGAGGAAGTATATGATTCAGATGACAGCTCAGGAGAGGAAGATGAAGCAACATGTCCATGAGAAAAAGGAAATTCTGACTCATTAAACCTGACACATGGAGTGACAACGATTTTTCCATCTGGTTTCAAACATTTATACCCCTTATGAACTAGACTATAGCCAACAAACACACACTTGGTAGAATGAAAGTCAAATTTATGCTTATTAAAAGGTCGAAGAAATGGAAAGCAAGAACATCCAAAAACTTTCAATGACTCATAAACAGGTGGGGTTTGAAATAATTTTTGGTAAGGAGACAAGTAAGCCAAAGTAGCCGTGGGCATCCTATTTATGAGAAATACTCCAGTTTCAAATGCTAACCACCAAAACTGTAAAGGCATGGATGCATGAGCAAGAAGGGTTAGACTAGTTTCAATGATATGTCTGTGTTTGCGCTCACATCTACCATTTTGTTGATGTATATGTGAGCAAGAATGTCTAAATCTAATTCCTAAATCAATGAGATAAGAATGTAGTGTAATGTATTCTCCTCCCTGGTCTGACTGAAGACACTTGACTTTGTGACCAAATTGCCTTTCAGCAAGTTTATGAAATTTAATAAAGACCGATTTAACTTCCGCTTTAGTTCTAAGAGGAAAGAGCCAAGTATATCGACTATAGTCATCCAAAAATTGTACATAATATCGAAAACCTTCTAATGAAGGTAATGGGGCAGGACCCCAAACATCACTATGTATAAGTTCTAAGGGTGCAGTAGCTTGAGATGTGGATGGAGGAAAACTAGTGAGATGTAATTCGCCAAGTTGGCGTGCATCACAAAATGAGAGTGAATGAGTGGATGATGACTTGCTCTTAGAGATAGTGTTCTTAGACAAACCAGCAACAATTTTTTGTAAAATAAGAGAATGAGGATGTCCTAAGAGTTTGTGCCATATCATGTAATCAATATCAATTGTATCAGCATTAAAACAAAGAATATCAAAATTAGAGGAACAAGTTTTATTATTATTGATAGAAAGATCTTTACACTTAGTAGCATTGTAAAGCATAGACTGTGCAGAGTTACAACTCAAGCTTTTATTTTTCAGAGTACTAGCAGCTGACATATTAGGATAAGGACTAGACATATTTCCACAAGAACCAGAATTATTATTACAGATACAAGACATAGGTAGATAGGGTTTAGACACACCAGGATAACTGGAAGAAGATGATGATGAATGAGCAGAGTTGGAGTGTGGAATATTCAACTGATAAAGGCCTCCTCTAAGCTCCCCTTGCAGTAATGTTGCTTTAGTTAACCTGTCCTTAACAAGACAACAATCAGCATTGAATTCAACAATAACATCATTATCAGTAGTAAATTTAGAGATGCTTAAAAGATTTTTGGTAATTACAGGTACACACAAGATATTTTTGAGATAAAGGCTCTTGTATTGAAAAAGACTAGGTAAAGAGGTGTGGCTAGTGTGTGAAATAGGAAGAGATGCACATTACCTACTTGAAGCTGACTAACACCATCATAATTCTTACTAATACTCATGTGATTTAAGTCTGTTGTAACGTGGTCAATGGCTCTTGAATCCATGTACCACATAGGATCTGAATGAGTAAAGGAAGTAGCAAAAGCAGTATGTACTGGTGATAACTGAGGTTGTGAGCATGGGCTAGTATGTCCACTGTTGTTTTGATGAGTAGCAGCAAGAAAAGCCTTACTGGATCCTGACAATGGTGTACCAGAAACACCATGAGAAGTTGAAGTTGGTGAGAAGCTCTCGGGTGAAGATTGTGAAAAGGCTGTATTTTGTGAGTTGTTGGTGAAGTTATAAGAAAAGGAACCAGGCAAAGGATGTCGATATGAGATAAGTGGCTGCTGTTGTGGTCTACAAACATCAAAATTCTGGTTAGCAGTAGCATGAGTATTAGGTAAAGACTATTGAGAAGAGAGCATTTGGAAAGGAGGGCTATACGTGTTGGTGGTATAAGCATTGAAGGGATGTTGAGCAGTGGGAATTGGTGAATATTGGACAGTATGAGAGTGTGAGGCAGTAGGAAATTGAGGATGTTGAAGATGCTGAATAGTGGGTACTTATGGATGTGAACTATAAACATTCACAGGCTGTTGTTGATTATAGGCTTGCTGCATTTGTGAGCCAGGAAAGCTTCCATTGTAAGCCAAAATTGCTTCAATCTACAGGTCTTGTAGAAGACAATGGGTGGGACAAAAAACAAATTTGATAAGTGCACTCTCAGAAAGTTTATTGACAAATAATAGGTTGAAATTAAAATTTGGAATATTCAAAACCTCAATAAGTTTAAAATTTGACTGCAAAAAAACAATGCCAATATGATGCATTGGGCTGATGGATCCATTTGGTAGGTATACAGGTGTGGTTTTATTGAATTAAGACATAGATATCTAACATTTCAAGGTCAACACACATGTGACTGGAAGCTCCTGTTTCAATAATCCAAGATCTTGAATCTAATAACTCAATAGAGCTTAATGCATGTTTAAGAATTGTACCTGCAAAATTTGCAAAGTGTGCACAGTTAATTGCAGAGCCATCAATTGGTGCTCTTCCTTTCATAAACCTTGTCAACTCTTGTTGAATCAATTCAGACAGTGCATTGTTTCATTCAGTCCCTTTGCTCACTTGTTCACCTTCAACTTCCAAAAGAGTTTCTGTCATAATTAGCATAATTCTTAGGTAGAGATTTTCCCTTTTGATCCTTGAACTCTTTGTACCATTCTGGATAGCCATGAAGTTTAAAGCAGGTTTCCTTTGTATGTCCATCATTGTTACTAAACTCACAATGCCTTTCAGATTTCTTCATCATGTCTTTCATTTTGTACCCCTTCTTCCCTACTATTTCCTTCTTATAATTTTGTGCCTTAGCAAACATAGCAGTATTTTGAATATTTTCTGTAAATGTTATATGCACCTCTTTTTGCTTCTCAACTCTCAAAACCATTAAGTATGGCTTATTTATAGTAGGCAAAGGATCCATAACCAAGATTTGGTTTCTAATATGATCAAAACTTTCATTCAAGCCTATAAGAAACTGCATCAATCTATTAGAAGAAGTCATACAAACTACTAGACCTGGCAAATCAGGTCTGGACCCGTGGGTCGACCCTTAACCCGCATAAAAAATATAGGGTGTGGGTCTTTAATATTAGACCCGTTTTTCTTCTACCCGTACCCAGCCCAACCCGTTTTGCCAAAAGGTCAAGCAGGTACACCCGCGGGTGCCTGCGGGCACCCGTTTGTTTTTCCCTTTTTCATTTTGCAGGGATACCCTAAATTCTAAATTGGGGTTTGGCCATGTTTTTGCCCCAAATCGCAAAATCCCTAACTCTATCAAACGCATCGTCGCCGCTTCTCCTATCTTCGTTTCTCATCAAAAAAAAGGACTCTGCAAATAAACCCAACAATAAAACAAAAACATAAATCACACAAATTCAAAAATCCAAAGGAAAAATTCAATCAAACAAAAACAAAAATCCAAAAACCCAAAGGAAAAATTCAATCAAACCTGTCCAGGTAAAGTGTCATCGTCATTTTGCCCTAGTTTCCTCTTCTCTGGCTCCGTTCTTTCACCTTCAGACATCTTCGATAGTTGTGTGTAATCTGAGATGTATTTTTGTAAGTCTTTTGTATTATATCTGTGAAGAGAGAGGCGGAACTCGGAAGTTGATATTCATGGCAGTGATGAGTCGTTATGTTGATTCGAGATTTGCTCAAATATCAGTTATCAGGAGCCTGCGATGGAGGATACGTTGCGGCCTACAGGGCAGCAGGTGGCATGTGGGACGTGGGGAGTGGAAGTGGAAGTGATTAAAGTCAGAGTTAGGTTTTGGCTGGGATGAAGACTGAAGAGTGGAGAATCTGCGGTAGAAGTTTCAAAAACTAAATAGTAAAAGAGGATACTCAGATCTGTTCAATCTTTGCTTGTTTGCAAAGTCAATTCATTCTCAAAATGTTGCTTTTCTTCTGTAAATTTTTTCTTTTTTCAGATTTTTTTATGTGGGTTTATTTTGTTGATGAGGAATGAAAGGACAATCAATAAAGTTTTTTGATCTTTTTCTTTGTTAGGTTCTGGGTTTCTGTTTGGCTGGTGAGAAAACTTGGGAGAAAACGTGGGTTTCTTTTTTCTGTTTGGTTGGTGACAAATTTTGTTCAAAAATGAAGATTTTAGGAAGATTTGGGGGTGTAACTGCAAAAACCTAAAACTGGAGTGAACAGTACGGACGGGTCCAAAATATTGGACCCATTTAAATCGACCCGTTTTGGGCTCGTACTCGTGAGACCCGACTCGTACCCGACCCACCCGCCCTTTTTGCTAGGTCTACCTACTACTAACTTAGCTGCACCACAACTACATTATGGTATAGGCATCAAACAGGTTAGTTCATCCCACAACTTCTTATGCTTTGTTTAATACTTCATAACAGGCATATTTCCTTAAGTAATAGAACTAATTTCCCTCTACAACTGATGCAATAGAGGTCCATTACAGTCACCAAATCTTTCCTCTAACTCTCTCCATAACTCTATAGCAAAATTTGTGTATAGGAATGCGTCAATAATCTCTTTCGAGATGGAATTCAATATCCAGGAGGTAACCATACAATCTACCCTATTTCATTGTTCAAAGTTTGGGGATTCTTCACCAGGCATCTCACATTTCCATCCACAAACCCTAATTTTACTTTTGCACCTAATGCAATCTTCATGCAATGACTCCAAGATAGATAGTTATTGTTACCTGTAAGTAGAGCAGTAACAAGAGTCATTCCAGGATGGTCAGAACTTTGCAAATACAGAGGATTTTCATATCTGATCGAACGCCATCTCTCTTTCACTTCGAAAATTTGAGCTCCTTAATTCACCATCCATGGCTATCAATTCAAAGTATTATCAAGCCAAAACAAGTATTGTAAAAAAAAAAATTAGATTTTAGAAGATCTACAAGATCTAATGCTCTGATACCATGAACAAATAAAATATTGAACTGGTAAAATAATGGTGTATTATTTCATAAAGAATAAAGAAAGAGAAACTTGTCTTTTATACAAGAAGCAAGACTACCAACTCAACAGTCTACCAGTTCAACTAACAAACTAACAAAAATATTAATTATTTAACTAAATTAATTATCTCTACAATTACTTAACATATTAATAGAATCAATAATTTGTGACCGTCATATAATATACATTTCAAATACATCTTAAATTTCATCGAATCTAATAAATCTTGAAATTTGATATTATCGATTTTATCACATAGTGACTACGTACTAAACTTTAAATTGGCGAGGGGCTTGTTGGAACTTAAAAACTAGCAGCAACCTTTTTTAGCTTAAATTTCGGGGTAACGGGGTTAAGCAATTAATATCTCGAAGACACATTGATTAATGTAATATTATAAAGACAGCGCAATAACAAAAGTGATTAATTTTCAATTATGGACAGAATTAAAGAAATTTGGTTAGATGCTAATACAATAACAATGTGTTTCAAAGTATTTTCAGATGCTTAAAAATATTAGGAAAAAAAGGGATTCAAAATTATGTTGGAAATAAAAAAAAAAATTAGATGAGAGTGCGATCGAGGGCTTGTAGCATTTTTCTAAGAATGCCAATTTTCACCTTACATTTTGCATTTCCTAAACATATTGGGACCTCAACTAGATCCTCTGATAGTTCATGAACTTAAACTGTTGTTGTGTCTGATGACTCCATCTCTTTTGAGCTTTGTTTGAATCACGTTCTAGTATTAATCCTCTCGTAAAAGTGTTATCTTTACCATTACAAGAAGCGTCATTTGGTTTGGCAACATCAAGTTGCATTTTTTTTGCATGTTTCTTCTGTTGGATGATCTTCGCTTTTGATAATTTTTTCATATATGACCTCACTAATGGAACAAAAGCCTCAGGATCAGGTAAGAAAGCATCTTTAGCAAAAGCATCAACAAAAGACCAAGTGACCAATTTCAGCGACGAGCGACATGCATTGAGAGAGTATCAGCGTCAGGGTTTTGAATGGATGAGTGGGTAAAGTCCTTCATGAAATGCAAAAATTAAAACTCTCACATGCTGGAACGGACGCTTCGGAGTTTGCATGGAATGAGTTTGTTCTTATGCCACCTGCGGCAAAAGCCTCAGGATCAGGTAAGAAAGCGTCCTCCTCAAAAGCATCAACAAAAGATCAAGTGACCAAGTTGAGCAACGAGCTACATGTATTAAGAGAGTATCAGCGTCAAGGTTTCGAATGGATAAGTGGGCAAATCCTTCATGAAATGCAAAAATTACAACTCTCGCATGCCGGAATTGACGCTTCGGAGTTTGCATGTAATGAGTTTGTTTTTATGCCACATGCGGCAGAAGATGAAGCTCAAGATGAGGAGGAGGAAGATGATCATATGGAAGACTCGGACTCAGATTTTCTAACTCTTTTAGCGTGTTTACTTTAATTTGTATTTTGGTTTTATTGTGTTTTCCTTTTTTCTGTTTTGCCTAAATAACTTTGGTGTGTGATTGTTCTTAGATTTGTTGGTTTAATTAGTGATGTGTGTTATCGAGTTGGTGCTGGATATGGTTCATTCTTTGCATGGCTTTGAATGAATATCCCCCTACGCAGACGCATTCGGGGTCCTAAATATTTGGGCCTTTAACGATTTAGCTCAAATATGATTAGCTTTATAGTTACACTATGTCGTACTAGAAAACCTAATGTGAGAAAAATAAAGAGAAAAGAGAGAACTGCCGTCATATGTATTGCATTACTACAGCTTTTTGAAACTCAATAAAAATTGCTCTATTAGAATGTTGGACATAGTTCCTTAATTAGGAACGAACTAAGATAAATCATGTGTCTTTTTTACTTTTCTACTTTTATTATTGTGTGTTTTGACTGTGGTTTCAATAAACTAGATTTTGGTATGGATGATGGTGTGACACAGGACTGGTGACCAAACATTCTAGTTTAATCGTACTTCACTATTTAACAAGGGGAGTATTTCTTTTCCATTCTTTTCTCTATTTCTTGTCATTTACTGTGATACATTGGGGACAATGTTAACTTTAAGTTTGGGGGTAGGGGAAAATTTTTAGTTATCGTTTGTGTTTTTTTTAACTATTTTTCATTTTTCTTTATTTAGTGTTATTTTGTTGGTTTGGTTCTCAAAAGTCAGATGTTGAGCATATGATTGCCTTAGATATTATTTTTGGAAAATATTGAATATTGCTTAGAGTTTGAGTTACATTGACTTTATTTTGCAAGACGCTTCTTGGATAGTATAACCATGATGATCATAATGAGATTTTGAGAATATTACTATTCAATATTGCTGCTGTATATTCAGTTGTTTTCACACACTTTACAAGTATTCATATGAGAGAATATATACACTTTAACCGGAACTATTTTAAGTAGGAATCCAAGAATCAAGGTCATCAATTGCTGAGTATAAACATGGAAAGTGATAGCTGGTGTATCCTTGATTTGGTGCTGAGAATCTGCAGTTGACGTTTGTTGCCAGAGTTGGAGAGATATGCTTAGGTGGAAGATACATCTGTGATACGCCCCCACAAGATAGAGCTGTCGTCGGCTAAGCCTATCTTGGCTTGGAGAAATTCTGTCTGGTGACGGGAGAGGCCTTTGGTGAGAAGGTTAGCCAGCTGATCCTTGGTGTTAACATGATGAACAGTTAGAACCCCACGTTGAACAAGATATCGGACAAAGTGAAGGTCAATCTGAATGTGTTTCATGCGAGAATGTTGAACTAGATTAAAACTCAGATGGGTTGCACCCAAGTTGTCACAGAGCAGCTTTGGTTGGCCAGATAAAGTAAGACCAAGTTCCTAGAACAATGAGAGAAGCCATGACATTTCGGAGGCTGCATTGACAAGAGCTCGATATTCAGCTTCAGTGGATGACCTTGCCACTGCCCGTTGCTTCTTTGAACTCCAGGAAATAGGATTAACACCAAGAAATGAAACATATGCCGAGGTGGAGGTCCGGTCATCATAGTTGCCTGCCCAATCCGCATTAGTATATGTAGTAAGTGCAAAGCTGGAATTTTTCCTGATGTGTAGACCATGAAAGATGGTGTGCTTTAAATACCGAAGGAGGCGCTTGGCTGCTGTCCAATGTGTCATTGTAGGCTTGTGCATGAATTGAGAGAGTTTGTTGACAGAGAATGAAATATCAGGGCGGGTGAGGGACAGATATTGAAGAGCACCAATAACACTTCTGAATTATGTACTGTCCGCTGCGGAGGTACCATCAACTAATTTAAGGGAAACGGTGGTGGACAAGGGAGTGGAGACATCTTTAGCAGCAATCATATTTGTTTTGGATAGGAGGTCTCGAATATATTTATACTGAGACAAAAAAAGTCCAGAAGTTGTAGAGATGACCTCCATCCCCAAAAAGAAATAAAGTTGTCCCATGTCCTTTAAAGAGAATCGGTTGCCAAGCTGTGCTACAATCTCAGACGCAAAAGAAGGATCGTTACTAGTAATAACCAAATCATCCACATACACCAATAAATAGCATATAACCGAGTTCTGACAATAAATAAAGAGAGAAGAGTCAGCTCTGGA